ACGTAACGTCAATAAGGAAACTTGGATCATAAATGTGTTGGAGAAAAATAAAGTATACCTATGTTCTGAGAAGTCTGGATTTTAAGCATATGAGCACGAATGTTCCATTCCATCTAGGGTTAATATATTAGAAGCTTCAATGTATAGTTGACAATGCATTTTTGGAATGGGACGTGCTCGGCTGGTTCCAGTAGCTAACCATTGTGGGAGAGCGAAATTAAGTTGCAGAACCTTTATGAAGAAAAAAATGATCACAGTAGTGTCGATTTATTTCGACGCCTTATCGTCGGAATTGGGAACATTATCTGAATTTCATGTTTTCGATTTCTGCTTGTCAACTTCATTATGATCCCATTTCGTCTTACTTATCTTTTCTATTCTGTGACGAACTCTGGCAACTTGGGCTGATATACAATTCAGTAGGTTTGTACCTTCATCCATATTTGTCGTTGTATTTATTTAGAAATAAGCCATTGAAAGTAGAGAATGGGGAAAAATGATGAGGTTCGATGATGATCAGAAGAGATCTCACGTCTTATTGTAAGCATGTAATTATCAGCACTTTGAACGACCCTACAACCCGCAAGTCGATAACTCATTGGGGTGGATTACTTTGCATGACTTTATCTGTTACCACGATAAAGTTATTGTAAGAAAGGGAATGCATAGCTCTTAGTGTCAACATTTTCTGAACCATCGTCCCCAAACAGTGAAAGTTACGCAACTGGGAATATTGGTTACTTCAACAAAACACCGTAGTACCATTGTAAACTTATGCATACAAAAGTACAACTACGACTGCAAACCTTACTTCTATTGGAGTATCAATAAATAATATTATGACAGTATACGCTTTTAGTATCAACACTATCCATATGATTTTTCTGAAATAAAAGAGCATCATAAAATAACCGTTTCGACAGGCCTAACAAAAAAGGAACGCTCCACAACCAGCAACCTGTGGCAGTGATGTAGATTAAATGTAAGACGTGAGAAGTACACATCCATTTCTAAAAATTTTGCAAACATTAAAATCGAATGGCAAACAGTTACTTTTTTAAAAGAACTAAAGGAATTAAATTACTATTGGGATCATATGACACACTTCATAAAATTGGTGGAAAGGATAACAGTTTAAGAAGTCAACAGCTTTTTCTTCTCCCATTTAGTCACGTTTTGGTGTATGACAGAGAGAAAGAGAATACGTCAAGTGACACATCATATGTGTATTTATGAATTTAAATCCATAGAAGGTTATAGCAACGTGAATAACAGATTAAGCTTGTTTTTATTTACAAAAAAAATTGCAATTTGTTTGAAAAGTCTGCAAATATTAAGTCACAACTTCGCCCATGAAGCATTTCAATATTTTAGTCTGGACAGATAAGATTATGATACAGTATTTACTACTTATTAAAAAGTACACCAAGTCAAATAAATAAAACAAAAGATATCAGACACGTCTGAATTATTACTTGTAATGATCAGTCAAAACCAAATTGAATTTAATGAAATAACTGACCATTTTTATACAATGTGAGACTGAAGCTACCACAGTACTTTGTCTCGACAGTATTGGATAGCGATTTCACTGTCTATATATATATATATATATATATATATATATATATATATATATATATATATATATATATATATATGAAACAACTACCGTGTAGAATCATCATCATCATCATCATCATTATCAACATAGGACCAGGCATTACTGCGTAACGGTCCGAGTTGCCACACCTCATATCAGCACATCAAGTAAAAGGTAGTGAGGTGAAGGATGAAGATAAGTGAATGCAGTCAAAAGAAATATAAAGTACGAGAAGAAAGGAAAGAGGAGTGACAAAATAGTGAGATTCGGTATAGCGTTGTTAAGATGAGGATAATGTGTGTATACATCTGCGCCACTGACTTCGGTTCTGAGCCATATCACCTAGGGTCTCCAACCACTGGTTCCTCTTGTCCCGTGGACCCCAACCACCTAGTCTGCATCGTCCTACATGGCTTAAACCAACAGTCAGAGACTTCATACATTGGTGCCATGTTTTAGTCTGGCCACCTCGGGCCTTTTTCCAGCCTGAACCCACCTCAGCCAACATTGTGTGACGAGGCAATCGGTGACTAGGCATACGTAGTACGTGTCCCAACCATCTCAGTCGATGAAGGTTCACAACCTCGTCGACTGACTTACCTCTTCTCCCTAAAACTCTACACCTAACTTCTGCATTACTCACATGGTGACACCACGGAATACGTCCTATACTACGAAGGCAACGGTGGTCAAATACCTGTAACCTTCTCATGTCTTCCACTTTCAATGGCCATGTTTCACAGCCATACAGTAGAACAGAGCGGACTGCTGTGCAGTACACGCGACCCTTAATAGACAAACGAATATCACGGCGGCGCCATAGGTGGCGCAAATTGGCAAAAGCCAATCGAGCCTTTTGTATCCGTGCAGAAATCTCATCGGCAACTAACCCACCGGGTTGATCCTACTTCCCAGGTAAGTGAAGTGGTCAACACACTCAACCACTTCACTCTCTATTGTTAACCGCGGTACCGCTGAAGACCAGTCCTGGAGCAAAAATTTGCATTTGGGTGGTGAAAATCGCATCCCAAACATTCTCAAATTCCCACTCAAAGTGTTCAGAAGACTCTGCATCTTGTCAGCGTCTTCACCTAACAGGACTATGTCATCTGCATATTCTAGATCTAAGGAAAATTCACCTGTGATCCGGTCAACGTCTTTGTAATTAGGTGACGAGAGGGAAACCTCCATAAGAATATCTATGATAAAATTAAATAAGAATGGGGATAGTGGGCATCCTTGACGGACACCACTTGATGAGTATAGCTCCCTGGACAACTCACCATAGGCTCTAACATGCCCACAAGTGTTCGAGTAGAGAGCTTTCAATAAGGTGATGTACTTACTAGGCACGCCTTTCAGTGACAGACACTGCCATAAGACTTCTCGATCAACGGAGTCAAATGCCGCCTTCAGGTCGAGAAATACAGCTATTGTCGGGCGTCTGTAAGCATGCCTATGTTCCAGGACCTGCGTGTAGAATCAGGTAAACCAGCAAGTATTATTTTAAGAACTTATTAATACTGGGTGATGATTGAAGGTGAAATGAAAATTTGGACCGCGGCCGGACTCGAACCAGTGGCCATCGTGTTTCCTGTCCGATGCTCTACCAACTGAGCTACGAGGTTCAACTGCTGACCAGATTTTTACTTCACTTCAATCACCAAAGGTTTTGCCCGACTACCGTGTGAATTCGTGACGCATTACTACCGCTCGATCGTATTCAATCATCTCCCAGTATAAATAGTAGTCTATCAAATTTCGGATGGTCAAATGGCAATTTATCGATAAACAAATGAAATCATTGGTAGAATTCGTTTTTACCGAGGCAACATATCTTCTGTAGATGAGAAATTAAGCAATGGAATGATGTTTCTATACAATTTCTTTTCTTGGTGAATTCCAATAAAGCGAGAATAGCAGTTTTCGCAGAATAGCATGGATCCATTTTCTTTCCAGGTTTCTTATCAGCTGCTTGCGATCTAGTACAATTTTAGGATCAAATTGTACAAAATGGTAGTATATTAGAGCCAATTTGGTGTAAAATTATCGGCTTAAAGAAAAGATAACATTGGTACGATGTAATTGAAGACACACGAACTGAGTGTTTTTGATAATCATAATCTTTTTTCGCATCAAAATTGATTCGTACACTTTTATTGCTACTTCATTTCATTTTATGTTGTAAGCAGCTGATAAGAAACCCCGAAACAAAATAGATTAATGCTATTCTGCTAAAGCTGTTGTTCTCACTCTCTTAAAATGAGTTTTTATGTGCACACCTTACTTAAAGCCCGTTCTGTGAAATTTGAAAAATGCATCCGATTATCTTAGTTTCCTACTATGATAGTAACTGTTTGGTTTAAGTGGAGCTGTGGCTCAATAGTTTAGGGAGATGACTACTAACCATTGGGTCATGGGTTGGAGCCCTCCTCCATTTACCGAGGTTTGGGCAACCAGGTATTATCACTAGCCCTAACAGAATAGGTGTGGCTCATTGGATACTGCAAAGATATGGACAAGGTTGCTGAGTGCTCTTCTTTGTTCGGTCTAACCACTTTTGTATGAACAACAATATTCGGTCAAAAATGAAACAATACATAGTATTAATTAACTGAAAGTCAGTTCGTGTGCGTAAACAACTATTGAGAGACTGAAACAAGCGATGCTTAGCAATTCGTACCGTAACATTTAATTAGCTAGGTTCAAATGATAGGAACAGCATAAACTCCTGGACAGATATTCACAGGTCTTGAAAAAGGTTTCAGTAGGTAAAAATTTATCACTTACTGGCTTACAATGTCATAATATTCAAAATAGTGAAGGTATTGTATTTACTGACCGACAGGGACAGATAACCGAAATAATCTAGTTTTCAAAAAACAGCGCTTGAATTCCTCATGCTACTGAATGCAGATGAAAAAGCTTATCTTACGCACACCTAGAGAGTAACAGCCAAGTATGTATCGTCCATGTTAGTAAAGTAGTATTCAACGCGGGACATAGAAACTAGTTTTTCAGAGGAGGAGAAAACAAGGATTGATGTTGAGGATTTAGAGAATATGATATCTGTTAGTCTGAGTAGTGTAAGGAGGTGTAAGGCTACCAGACTGGGGTTCTGGAGATAAAATGAATCAATGGTTGGAGACTGTTTTCGCAAGGCATCATCTACTTATTTCCCAACCTATAATATACTTTTGTCTAGTTCTATGTCGACTTTTTTCTATCCTTTTTTTGCATGTTGCTGTAAAGTGCGGTAACTTGAAACGATGGACTTTTGCACCAGATTCTACGTTGATCAGTCTGTCCCTCTAATATCGAGTCCATAAATAGGCAAAGAAAAAGAAACTGTCAGGAAATACGTTACTTCACGGGAAATGAAAATGAGAAATCTTACTTGGAGATATTGGAAGATAGCATATATCACAAAGAGCTTCAGTTTTATTTTCGTACAAATTACTTGGTCCCATAACAATAGTTGTCTCTAGGGAAAAAATGTCAAAGAAATATTTACAAATTGTTAGAAATAAACGAAGTGGGAAGAATAACAAAATACAAGTTTACTGGTAACTTTCAGTAGTGGTAATTTAGCTTATTTAAGTGTGAACAATGCAAGAACAAAGACATTTGCAGAATATAATGCTCTCAGTTTGTTTCACGACCTTTCATCAGCTGAAAACAGCCTACAATTGAAATGAATGAGAAATCAAAACAACATCCAACTATTGAGAAGAAGCCTGTTTTCCTTCGCCTAGCATTCAAAGGTGATGAGACATCTGAAAGAATAGACAGAAAGATAAAAGCTGCACTGAGAAGAAGCTTCCCTGCTGCCAAACTGACCTCAGTTTACGATACATTATGCTCAATAACACAGTCGAAAGTAGACAAATACCCATCTCATGTCACCTCCAACTGTGTATATCAATTCACTTGTGCTTGTGGAAGCAAGTACATAGGACGGACTAAAAGAAGGGCATCTACTCGATTTTATGAGCATATTCTGAGAAATCTGTGTTTGAATGGTAGAAAGATCTTTCAAAAGCGCAATCGCCAGGGATCTGATGGAAACAGGACATCAAATAAGTGTTTCTCAATTTTTCAGGGTAATCAACAACCAAAGAACACCATGTTTATTACGGTTTGCGGAAGCTCTTGCTATCAAACATTTTCAACATGAACCATGTACTCAGAAGAAGAATGGAATAAACCTTTCTTTAACTTAGTAAATGTATATAACCTTTTGCATATGTATATAGTCTTCTCTTTTCTTTTGATTGCATCATCTCTTCATTAATTACTTACTGATTGTCAATTACTTAACGACTTTTCAGTTTTCGATGTAATTGCGTAACCTGTTAGCTCTTAAACAGTCCCTTCTTTTACACTGATTTTCGTTTGCTGTCCCGCCACTCCATAGCTCCAGAATTTTCGATCTCATCAGATATAAATAGCCATAGATCTTGACTAACATATGTAACTACTAATCCTGTGTTTCCTTGATTTACTACCTTATTGTTAATCCTGGATTTCAAATCTCCACTTATTTTTGCGTGTTTGAAGTATGTAGTGTTATTACTACTACTACTAATAATTCATTTCAATTGTAGGCTGTTTGCAGCTGATGAAAAGCCATAAAATAAAGTGAGGCCATTTTATCCTGCAAATGTCTTTGTTCTTGCAGTGTTCAAATTTGTCAAGGGAATTAGACGTATGACATTTATTTAAATGTGCTTTTGAGAAGACAAAGTGCATAACGAGTGCCCCGTGGACACTGAAAAGCAGATAGATATGATAAGACTGTGAAAGCAGAATGCAGTCGGATGCACAAAAAAGGTAACGCGAGAAAGAAACTTATTCTTATCCACAGAGAAAATACTGAGACTATACATTGTGATAGGCAACTATGTTCAAAAACTGCTACTAGACCATAGGGTGTTTCAGATCTTGGCCGAAATATTAACAAGCAACTCTTCTTTTTTCTTCCGATAACGATGACGATTTATTTGGAAAGGATAACAAGAATTTAAGAGACCTGCATTTTAAAGAAGTTAGATTGCGACAACACTTTACATAAGTAGATCTATGCATTAAACAAGTTCGAATCTTAATCGTTTGATGGGATTTGAAAGATGACAAAGTGACATTATTATTGACAACGGAATTCAACGTCATTAAATCAGTATTTCTTTAAATATACTCATAAAAAATGTATGTGACAGATAGTGTACACGAAAAACTCTTTCCTGGTTATTCCGAAAAGTTATCGAGAATGCCCAGAAATGTTTCCCTCAAAGAATTTGAATACAGCAGTAAGAACCCGTCCTCAAGAGGGATGATGAAATTCTGTGTCTTCTGCATAAAGTAAAGGTGAGCTTTGTACGCAATCATGCACTACTGAATCTAAAAGTAGGGATAGATATAATCGGAAAATCCAATAATAACATTATGTTGAACTGATTTGAATGATAATTGGGGTGGTAATACAAACAGGAAACATTAAGTCTCATGGTATGATGCGGTATGACAACCAAGTAATAGTACGAACGTGTTATGCCTTTAGTTTTGATAACGCCCACACATCTCAATCTTTGAACTCGATATGAAATCTACGACAAATATATGACGCCAGCATCAATAAGTGCAAATATTTCATGAAAAGGGGTAGAATCCTGCATAGGAAAATTTCTATACAAGCCAATAACGATGAAAGGGATGAGATAAATAAAAAGCAGTACATAATAGCTTTGCAACATATCATTTCCATTCTAAAATTTTAGTAACTATCAAGAGTAGTTACCTATCTTCATCCAAAATGAATTTAAACTGGCATCGATAGACGCTAGTTAAAAAGCAACCAAGGAATGCTAAACATTGGTATCTACTCTTCAATCTGATAAGCGTCCCCCTTAATTATCAATAGTATCACTACCTTTCTGACCTATCCACTGCTAATTATTCAACACTTGATAGCACTCAAAAGCTAATATATTGCTGTATTAAAAACATCCCACACAACTAAGTTATATTTTTCTTTTATTGATGTGGATGTAGGAAATTTGTTTAGATAGCTTATCAGCATCTATTTGAACTTATTGACTAGCTCATACAGATAAACTCTGTGTGAAAAATTAAAGTGTTTAGCACGTTGTTTTTTATATATGCTTAGCCAGTAGCAGATAAATCTCAGTGAGAAGCAAGGATAAACAATAAGCTTTATTCTCAAATATGCAGCTGAATACCCATGGCCATTCAACATTAAGCAGAACGCATTACAGTATATAGTAATTCAACTTTGAGACCATAATACATTTTAGTAATGAGGTTCGATCGCCACACTGAGGTCTTGATAACATGACATCAGTTTCCATTTGGTGACAGACAAACAGGGAGCATGCCATGCTGTTGTTAAGTGAGAAACAATTATAAGTAAGATATTTGCCAAGACTACATTAAAGGCCTGTATGCTTAGAGAAAAATTAAAGAAATCCCATATTAAGTTTGTTCATTTTGCATACCAGTTATACAGTAGTATTTACTGGATGGTGTTCCAAGCAGAAACTATTGCTTACCTCGATATCATTATGCGCAATGAATTCTGCCTAAAATACCACTTAGTAAATAAAACTATATCAACCACTAAATAAAGAAATATAACATAGTTACACTGCACTATAGTACCCCAGTTGTACTCTTTATTAAAGAAATTAATGATCTTTACGATAGTTTAACTGAATATATCAGTAACAATTAAATAATCTCACATGATCAAGCAACGTTTGTTATTTTTAAAAAAAACATCAGATAGAAGTATATCAAAATACCTACCCGGAATCTCCATAGGATCTACAATGGATGCCTGAGCATATGTATGCGCTTTTCCATGTTCAAAATAAAATTCCATCAGTGCGTCTTTATCCCATTTGAAGTGAGCAAGTAATAATCGCAGATATGTTGGAGCAACTTGAATTATTTGTTCCACTTCTTTAATGATGTCAGACATTAACTGTGACAATTGATTGGGATGTAATATCTAAAAAATTATTATGTGATCAGTTCATCCGAAAGTATTTACACCGCTTTATGGCTCATAACTCGTATTTAAATTTTTCTTAAACACACAAATTTATGCAATTGTTAGTGTACGATTGCTTGCATCGATGAAAGTCTAATCGTTTCATATAAGTCGAACAAATCAGGTATTAAAATGCACATTAAATTAGACAGTAGTATTCATTTATTTATTGGAAAGAAACTGAATCTCAAATTAATGATCCGGAGATATGACCTTATCTCCTGAACCAATGACTAATCTCAATAACCAAGGATAATAATTTAAAATAAAATGGTGGTATTTCGGCTTTTCACAGACGACATTTTTAACCTAATGAAACAATCGTTAGTATTTGTGCACTACAGCAAAGCTAGAAATATGCTTGACTGGAAAATATCATCAAACATTTTGTAGTTTAGTAATTCTTGTCACTGGAAAAAATATTTCAAGATTCCCGTGAATATGTTAGACGCAAATCTGATAAAAAAAGTGAAACACTTCCACACAATGACCTTGATGAGCACTAGCAAATCCCATAGACTGTGTTCATGAATTTAGAAAGAGCGATATCAGTAATTTGATAAATGCAGAATTTATTCTTAGACACCGGTCAAAGTTTTCAAACAAATTTTTGCAATCCAAGTAAGCCCAAGAGGCTAAGAAAAACAGGAAGTGGTTTTATATTCAACAACAAAATATTACGAATAACTTTTGCATTTCTGCCTCCAAAATATCGCAGCACGGCCAAAGTTAAAGAAAAACCTGTTCATCCTCTAAGAACTATGCATTATGTCCTCCACTAAGTAATTTCTGTCTATTAAATTAGCGTGAAAGGAATGTTTTCACAAAATCAGAAAAGTAAAAAACGAATGTCCGAAACCCATCACCAGATTGGTGGATAAATTGAGTTGCAAAATCCTAATTCAGAACAAATGGCATGCTCAAGTTTTAGTAACTAAAAGAAACAGATTCGGTAAGGGCCTATTTTAGTCTTCATCAATGGTCAAAATGTGGAACCTAACGTTGTTCCCCTGCTTTGCAGATTTAACTTTAAGTTAAAGACTCATGGAATTGTCCTATGAACAAAAGCCTGCTTTTATGTGAGTGTGTGGGTATTCTTTCAGCCTTCATGTTTGCTTCCAAAAAGCCCTTCTTTACTGTGATATCTCAATTATTGTGAAACAGCGTGTACGTTTCAAGCCAACCAAGTTCATCGTTCATTGGTGGCAAATACATTTAGTTAAAACTCTCGAAAGAGTTGCTGTTGAGGCGTGCTGTACTTAGGGAAAACGGCAAACAAAATCACGGTGAAGTGTTTCGAATAACTTCCTTACTTCTCAGCTAGAAAAGTGCGTTTACCATACGCACTTTCGGAGACCTTGAAGCATAAACATCCGACGTTGCTAGTGTCACAATGAGTGTTGGGACTGAAGCTAGACTGGTTGACTAGGCCTAATTATATTAAAAACCAACTGGCAAAGGAAACAGCGTTTATTCATCATTTCTCTTTATGTTTCGATGGACTGCCGCCCGGTTGCAGCTGTGTCTTCAACTAAGTGACCTCAACCAAATGTGCTTGACAGAGTGTGGAGCTAAGGGCTGCTACAAAAGCAAGCTTTGAATATGGCCTGAAAGTAGAGTTATTCAAGTGGTTAGTGGCTGTTATTCGAGCGCAGGTCAAAAATGGAGATTGACTTCTGAAGCTCAGTAGCAATAAAAATCTGCCTTTAGTCGGTACTAACTTGAGAAGCAACCATCGTTGCTCTTTCTGAGCTCAAATAGAGTATATTGAAACTATCTACCGATGGTGCGTTCGGATTCAGGACTACCGTTCCTTTTAAAGGACTTGTTAAGTTTATCGTACATTTTAGTTGTCATTAAAATCATAATCCGGAAAAATTCAATGTAAACAAATTGGCTGCACCCACTGTTGAAAGCGAATATCAAGTCCTGTTAGATTTCATGCAAACTGTTAAATCTTCAGAAAACATAGATAAGCATTGGATGTGCGTACAAGACGCTAAGAAAATGACCAGTAAGATATGTAGGGTTTAGAAAAATATCTTGCTAATAAACACAGTAAATTACGCGTTCCTTTTTGATGCTTGTCCGTCTATTCAGAATGATGAACCAGAAGTAAGTTCTTAAGTAAAATAAAACACATAGCTGAGACAACTTACGTCTAGGATGAAGGTGAGACTTTAGTCAGGATGATAACTAGGCTTTTCAAGGTATGGCAGATTGAGAATGCCGCTTCTCTGTAATGAAGCTATTAAAGTTTCCATCTCTGGAAAGGACCTACTCAGTGTATGCAACAGTCACTTAGTTTCTCACTTTGCTACGAATCCTATTCCAAAGACTACCTGCTATCATACTTTGCAGGCTTTGAGGAATGTAAGCAGAAGTTAGGAAAAGGCTGAATTTGTTCTGATCGTGGACGCATTGATTATGTGTTTACCTTGCATCAAATGCTCAAAAATCGTCGTATGCATAGTGGGGTAAAGGATGTAGCAGAGATGAAATCAATTCGCTGAACAGGAACTTGTTACAGAATCGTCTGTTAGAGAGGCGTTTCTTTGCAAATTTTATCAAGATACTGAGGGTTCTGAGAAAAAGCACTCTGAGTGGGGTGAGATCGAACAACTACCTCCTTTTATTGTTCTGAACTAGCAGTGGGGTTAAGAAGGGTTGACCGATTCCAGAGTTCACTTTTATTCAACCTTTCCATCGATGACACTTTTCAGACAGCTCGAGAGTTTGTGATGTAGATTTGGCACAGGAATGTCTTTCGGATAGCATTTCTTGACTGTATGACAAAAAATGGACTGGTTAAAGTGCACTTAATCAGTTGATAATCCGTGTCCATAGGTAGGATTTGTGCTTCGTACCAATACCTCGAGATTAGTAAAGGCCCTGCGCTTGCATTTACCCTAGCTGGTGAGCCGTCAGAAGTGATTGAAGAGTTTGTGTATCTGAACTGTAAAGCGAGTGCTAACGGAAAGACTATGGATGTAATTTCCGAACATGAATCCATAACAAGAAGGGAATACGCCAATCTGGGTGAGCTTAAAATACCGATAGCCACTTGCTCACAATGACCCAACGACCTATGCCCATGAAACGCTTATTGCCTCGAGGTTTCACCACACCAGAAAGGTCTGTGAGATAGTGGTTAGGTAAAAAGTATTAAACATTATAATGTAAATTGCTGAGCTATGGGGTGGGTAGAAGGTGAAGTAGTCTTACTGCTGGCTGGAAGGGATAGGACAGCAGTAAGTTATTTCCTGCAGATGACCAGCAGTGCCACACATGGCATTAAAACTAACACATTCCAGTTTATTCCAAGGAATACATGTGCCAGGAATTCGGGTTCATATTCGGACTTGTAAAACGTCCAAAAAGGCTATGTGTAACCAGCCTCCAGCAGATATCCCTTGGACTATACGGTCACATACCGAACATTCTTTTTCATACACCTCAAGAAAAACGAGCCTTTCACTATATGGAGAGTCGATAAGTGCCAACCGATCTCACAACACTGTCAGTCCTCAAGTCCCCTCAGGTCACAATCCACATTCTTACCTGCTTCAATCATAACATTGAGCCGAAATTCTTATATCACCCTTCAACTTGTTTCACCTCCAGAGGTCTTGAAAACGAATGCAGGTAACGAGGACTGCATCTAAGGACTTCTGAAATCGCACTCTAAACTACACATTGGAGCCTTGGATATCCGAACACTCCGGAAAAGAACAACATCACTCATCCAGAAGTCTGTAGCCATTTCAAGGTTGCTGGGAAAAAAAGCATTGAATACTACAGCCGACTATCAGAGTGTGGTCACTGGTGAGAAAAGGTAGGTAAAGTAAGTTAGTGAGAATACAGCGGATATGTATGAGTCTGTGATTCAATTGCAGGGGGGGGAGGTGATTGGAAAGATGACCGGAACACTTTGATTAGGAATTCAACCGGGTTCCAGCTACTATCATTACCGCCTATACATTCGATTTCTGAATTGAACATCGAGCCTCAGCAGCTACAGAAGTCAAGAAAGGTATAGGTAGCCTGAGACGAGGAAAAGCAACAGGGTAAGGCAGACAAGTACCAGAGTTATCTAAAGACCGTAGTAGAGGATTATTGGTCAAATTAAATCGACTTTTAACTAGTGTGTGGGAGTCAGATATGATCTCTTCAAACAAACAATAATCACTAATTATCATATTCTTCAAGAGAAATCCTCTTGTGATAACCAAACAAGAATCAGCATGAAGAACATAGCCATCAAGACTCTAGCTTCCTTTATTATTGGACGTCTAAATGGAGTTCGGAAACAGCAAACCCAAGAAAACTAGGCAGACTTCAGGCCTGGCTGTGAGTGTGCTGACCAGATATTCACACTCGGTCACGTTCTGGTACACAAACAAATAAGGACTAGCGACACCGGCCATTTTATTGACATAAAACTCCATTCGACTTTGTAATTACGCCAGCTGATTACCACCCAGTCAGAAAAAAGCCACGTCGCCAGAAAAATACGTGATACTAAAATGTCTCAATCTCAAGGAAAATTGGAAATATAATATCATATTGAAAACTGAACTCCTCAAAGGAATGATTGCACAGTTTCACAGACATAAAACTGCACCCTAAGCAGCATTCAGATTGACCTTGAAATACCAATGTGATGGATCGGAAAAATTTACTTTATCTGAAGACTTAATGGCTAGTTCCCGTGAAATCGATGGAGTGGGTATAATAATATTTTCTCGACCGGAAAGCGTACTCCTTGACTGGATTCCAGTCAAAAACAGTCTAGGTGCTGCCCAACTGAATGAATTTGCAAGAGCTTCAAAGGGTTGTGAGACTCGTCGATGTATATTCATAATCTTCGCTTACGTACCCGATGACTGCATTTCGGATCATACAAAAAATGAGTTGTACCAAAAGCTTTCAAATATGCTACATACAGCTGAACGTTC